CAATGGCTTTCCATTAAACAGGGATAACATTATTTTCTGCTGTGCTGAATTACTTCCTGTTCTTATTTTGTGGGTAATTTTTCTGTACCGAATATCCTTTGGTTGTGTATCTCCACCTTTTTTCTTGTACTAAAACTAAAGCATGGTCTGTATTTTTTTACATTACCTAGTTTCTGATGTAAATCTCTCTGTAGAGACATACCCTGCTGAAATGTAATGTGCTGTAGCCTATACATCTGCTCAGTGTACGCTGCTTTTGTTCTGTTGCCCTTCCATAGCATGGTGGGCCTTGCCTTTTTGTATTGTGTGCATGATGACATTGTTACACACGATTCCACTAATACTAATATACGATCTCTCAATAAAGAAACTAGTTTTCCTATATTAACCTAGTGTGCTTTTTCTATTGCTGTTTTCCCATTTATTGTCGTATCCTGCTGTTTAGATTTTTTCCTTGCTTTCCCCCCATCGTGAGGTTGGAGTGAGTGGATCTTCCCCTAGCGCAGATATGGGGGCTTTTAACATATATTTAACATAAATATATATATTTTTTCCCCCATCCTATATCCTGGCATTAGTCTGTGTGTACATGCTCCCACGCCATGCACGGTCCGTAGAGTACCGATGCAGAATTCTCTTATCAAACCAAACGGCAAAAAGAGTGCATAAATCCCAGCCCTCGTTATTAATCAGAGAGATTTAATGAAGGGGATGCTGCTTATTTTTAGTCGCATTACACATTCCTCACCTGAGTGCTACCGAAAGGAGAGGGATGACTCGCGGATGGATGGGGGGAGTCATTTTTGATTTTGATTAACGAGAGGTAAAGGACCTGGAAAATAATTATTAAAAAAAAAAAAAAAGAAAAAGAAAGAAAGAAACAACACCCTATAACCTCCTCTTTTAGTCCTGCAGTCGGGCACGTACGTGCATTGAGTGCCCTGCCCACCATCTGCTGCCAGGCAGGAGCTGCAGTGCCTGGTCCCAGAGACAGGCACTCTATAAATATTCCCTCAGACCCCCATAAACCCACCCCAGGTCTTCATACCACGGCTGCATTTTCCTACCGGGAGCCCCCAGGTCCACCATCTTCCCCATTATCAGAACGTGGACTTGGGGAAGTTCCTAGCAGCTTTAAGATATCACAGCACAGAGGGATGCACCGACAAATAATTGTGCTTAGCGGGCAGTTTGGCTGCAAAAGTAGTGGTCACTGCACCAGGCCTCGTTCCCCAGGTCCTGTAAACCCTTCAGGTTTTGGCTACAGGGTGGTACGTGGATGCCACGGCTCCCAACAGCAGAGAGGGGCTGGGGGTAGCATTCTGTTCCCAAAGGCAGCCACAGGGACGGGTGTTTGTAGCCAGGGGAAGGCAGATCACAGCCTCTCCGTGCTTCCCTGCTGCTGTAACGGCAAGGAAAACCCCTCTCCACCCTCCTTAGAAAGCCAAACAAAAGTGTTCCCAGGCGCCCGCCCTGCCTTCCCCAGCATCCCTCCAGGAGATACATCATTTCGCAAGGCCGTGCCTTTCCACCTCCGTCCTAGCTTTACCCTCAGTTCTCGTTTTGTTCCGTTTTATGATTTCCTTCTCCATACTTTTCTTTTCCGTGTATCTCGATGCCTGTTCGGCCATCCTGTCCCCCTGTATGAGCAACAGCGGGCTCCCCTGCTCCCCTGGATGTAGTGTATGCTGTGGCCCTTTGTTCTCGCTCCATCTTCGCCCTGGGCCAACGCTGGGCTCCGTGTGTGACACATGTATCCCTTACACGCCCTGAGGAGGAGGGAGGCTGTGCTTCTCGCTTGCATGAAGGGAGAAATGCATGCCTGTTGGGGGCTGATCATTTTCTGATGTGACTTTTTTGATTCATTATTACTTTTTATCATTATTTCTATGATTACTGAACCCCTCCATCCCACGTGAGATGAGGCTTTTTTTTTTCTTTTTTTTTCTTTTTTTTTTTCTTTTAATTTATTTAAATGAACCCCCTTTCCCTCCACCCCACCCTGAAACTACCAAGACTAAACCCAGCTCCCCACAGAACCCTGCGGGAGCAGTGGGTTCACCCTGAGCTCCTTTCCTCGTGAATGATCCAGAGCAAAACAATTTGGTCCACATGCTCTGAGGATACCTGGGTGATCTAACAATACAGAAAGCTGCTGGGTTAATGGCAGCTCGTACTGAGCAATTTATCATCCACATCGTATTTTTGACCTGTCTGGTTCGAAACACATTGCTACTGGAGGAAACATCCTCCCTCCCCCCCTTCTCCAACTCCACCTCCCAGCATTGTTAGTCAGTAACCAGCAGGCTTTCATGGCTCATAATCCATCAAAAGCATCCGCACGTTAATGGCTTAATTCCTTTGACACTCACGAAGGCACCTGTACAAAGGAAATCATCTTCCTTCATTTTAGCATCCACGGGTGGAGAAAGCCTGGGAGAAATCCCATGCTGTGGGCACGGAGGCACGTGGGTCGTTTCCAGCCCGTGGTTGCTCTGAATGACCTCTTTCTCCAACAGGAAGAAGGATAATCTCAAACATGGTCAAAACTGGCTCTGAGATGGTTTTATATAAGGGTTATATAAAGGTCTTAAACACATCTGCAGGAATTCCAGCGCCATGTTGTCGAATGGGAGCTAACCCCATCTGTCTGTGTGCCGGGGTCTCACAGGAGGTTTGGGTTGTGATCACCATTTCCATCGTGGTTAGGGATGAGAGAAACGAATCGCAGGCGTGTTTTGCTCTTCCTTATTCCTGTTTGTTGGGGGGAATAATAAGCAAAGCCTAATGAGCGTTGGACCAGACCGTGCGTGGATCAGGCCCTGTGCAGGTGTGTTATTAAAAAAGCGATGAGTTATGTCCAAGTGCAAAAAACAAGATGGCTGGGGAGGGCTGGTGAGATGGGAGGCTCGCAAAATCCCTCCTAGGGAACTGCTGGGGCAGAGCTGGGGGTTGAGGAGCGGCGGAGGTCCCAGGGTTTGGTCCCAGAGAAGAGGAGGCTGACGGGAGACCTGGCAGCCTACTGCTCCTCGTGGCCCTACAGTCCGTTGTGGCCCTGCAGCTCCTCGTGGTCTGTAACTCCTCATGGCCCTACAGCTCCTCATGGTCTATGGCCTCTCATGGCCTTACAGCCCCTCATGGCCCTATAGCCCCTCGTAACCCTGCAGCCCCTTGTAACCTTACAGCTCCTCGTAATCTTACAGCTCCTTGTGGTTCTACAGCTCCCTGCAGCCCTTCAGCCCCTTCATAGGCTGAGCTAGAACTCATGGAGCATTGGGACATTGCTCTCAGACGCAGGGTTTGGGTTCGGGCAGTGCTACGTGGAGCCAGGGGTTCGACTTGGTGATCCTTTGGGTTTCTTCTAGCTTGGGTTCCCTCTGTGTTCTATGATTCTGTCTTGCTGCACCCCACAAACCCTGCATTGCCCCTGGGAGCCCGTGTGACATCCCTGACCATCTCATCTCATTCTGCTGCACCAGACCCTGCAGCAGAGGGGGGAGCAGCCTCTCCCCGTGGCCCACCTTCAACCGAAGAACAGCTTTTACAGGAGGGAATGGCTCTTTTAAGGGTGCAGTGCTGGGAGTGGAGGACATAGACATCCCCTCCAGCCCTCTGGGTCATTGGCATGTATGTGTTGGTTTAACACCGAGCTCTGCATCAGGGCTGCCTGATGTCATCCCTGGAAGATCCTTGTTTTTGGAGGTGTGCTGGTTTTGGAAAGCAGCAAGTAGAGATACTGGAAATAAAGGGGTGTGGGAACGTTCAGTAGATCTTACCCTGTATCTCATTAATCTTCAATATCTGTTATCTCTCACGGGAGAGATGACTTTGCAGCTGGGGGAATTGTGATATTACCAAACATTGTCGCTCTGGGTAACATCCTATTTGGGTGCATTTGCAGAACTCGCAGCTCGCAGGTTCAACACAAAGCATCACTTTCCCATTAAACAGTGGTCTCTAAAAAGCTTCAGAACATCACTTCTGAGCTTAAAGTCCCTGCAACACCGAGGAGTTTAAGGCAGTGCGGTCATTTAGGGAAGGAGCAGTGCTTTGAAGTGCTTGGAAGCACAGCAGCTGCATGGAGCTCATGGCAGGGACCTGCCAGTGCCAGCTCTGGGCAGCAAGAGCTGCGCTTACACCCACTGAAGAAAGTGTTAATTTTTCTCCTTTTCTGGGTTCAGTTTGGGTTGGTGTGCAGTTTGGCTGGGCAGGGGGTCACAGGTCCCCTTGCTGCCCACACACGACCCCGTGGGAGATCCCAATTTA